GATTTTTTTAAATCTAAAATTAGTCTTTTTTAGTCTAAAATTAGTCTTCACCGGGTTACCCGGGTACTTACATGTTTAAAACTTTACATCTTAGGTACCAAAATGGAAGTTTTGAAAGTACGTTACCCAAAATAGGAATCAAGTTAAAGTACGTTACTTTTTCATGCAATTTGCTCTATCAATAGGTACCAAAATGAAAGTTTTGAAAGTACGTTACCCAAAATAGGAATCAAGTTAAAGTACGTTACTTTTTCATGCAATTTGCCCAATTCAATAATATTTATTTATTTTCCAATAATACCATCATGAGTTGTATATATACTCATAGYAGCTACAAATAGCTAACAGTAAGCAAACACATGCAATTAAAGAGAATGAATTATTCAAAGTTGTTTCTCTCCTTTTTCTTTTTCTTTGCCTTCCTCTCTTTTACTTCATCCTTTTCCTCTTTCTCTAACACCACTCATAAATGCTCTCCTAAACAGACTCATGCTTTGCTTCTCTTTAAGCAAAACCTATTTTCCATCAATGACATATCTTATCATCACGAATGTACACCTTGGCTTGGCTCTGGTTATCATCCAATTATGATGAACTGGAACAAAAGCATATATTGTTGTACATGGAATGGAGTCACTTGTAGCCAATACACGGGTGATGTGATCGCTCTTGACCTTTCCTGTGCCATGCTACGAGGTATCGTCCACCCTAACTCCACCCTCTTCAACCTTCCTCACCTCCAATCACTCAACCTTGCTTTCAACGATCTTACCGGTTCCCAACTTCCACACGAAATTGGCATGTTTTCGAATACTCTTACCCATCTCAACATCTCTGATTGTGGATTAACAGGTCAAAKTCCTTCAGAAATCTCACTTCTTTCTAAATTGGTTTCTTTGGATCTCACTTGGAATGATTTGAAGCGTGAACCTCATCTTTTCTACAATCTCCTCCACAACTCTACWTCTTTGGAAGAGCTTTTGCTTAACGATGTTAGTATCTCTTCAATTTTACCCAATTATCTCGATATCTCTTCTTCTATGAAATCACTCCATCTTGGCTTCACCGGTTTGCAAGGTAAATTACTTGATAACATCTTCAATCTTCCGTATTTGGAAGAACTCATCTTGTCATTTAACATTAATATCACCGGTCAATTACCAAAAGTTAACTCAAACACAAGCATCCCTCTTAAGTGGTTAGATCTTGCAGAAACCAACTTATCAGGAGAAATACTCGACTAAATCAGCCATCTCAAGTCTTTGACTCACTTGGATCTCTCAGGCACCATCTTATCATCAAAAGAAATACTCGACTAAATCGGCCATCTCAAGTCTTTGACATACTTGTGTCTCTCTGATTGTAGTTTGATGAGTCCCCTTCCCAAATCCCTAGTTAATCTTAGGCACCTTACTAGTCTATATCTATCACATAACAAGCTTAATGGACCGTTGCCTTATTGGTTGTTTACTCTTCCCTCACTAGAAGCTATCACTCTCTCCAACAACATGTTCAGCGGGAGCTTACCAACAGAATTGTTCAACCATCAATCATTAAAGCGGTTATCACTCAGAAACAATCATTTYGATGGCATGATAGATGTGCTTGATCAAGGATCCATTCAACAAACATTTCAGCAACTCCTGAACCTCACTTATCTTGACCTCTCACATAATAAATTTAGGGGTGTATGGGAGTTGGATACTTTATTATCAAGCCTTAGGACCCTTGAATATCTCTTTCTCTCGTATAGTGGTTTATCTGTTATAACCAATAATGYCRGTCGCTATGTCAATCCTAATGTTCAAGGCATGTGGTTAGCATCTTGAAAGATAAAGGTGTTTCCAAAGTCGTTACGAGCCATGAGAAAACTTCAAGTTTTAGATCTATCGAGAAATGAAATCGATGGCCACATTAGGGAGCTAGGAGGAAATGAACTACTTTACTTGGATCTCTCGCATAACATCATWACARGGCCATTCCCTCCATCAATTTGGAACATGGACAATCTACGATATTTGAATCTGTCCAATAATCGCTTTAGTGGAGTGATTAAACCTGAAGATATGAACTTCTCTCCTTTAGTTATAGATATGGGGAATAATAACTTTAATGGCACCATTCCACATGTGTGTGGTGGAGAATTAACGGGGCTTATTTTGAATGGAAATCAATTTGAAGGTAAGGTGCCAAGTTGCTTTTCCAAATGCCCAAAATTGGAAGTGCTTGATCTGGGAAACAACCGCTTAACTGGTGCATTCCCTGACCAGTTAGGAYGTCTTCCAAATCTGAAGGTTCTTGTCCTCAGATCAAACAAGTTTCATGGTCCCATAGAAAGAAGCTCTTCTATGATCGAACACCCATTTYCTAGTTTGAGAGTTCTTGACTTATCTCAAAATGAGTTTGGAGGYCATCTCCCTGGAAAATATTTTCAAAATTTTGATGCTATGAAGAATGTGGTCAAGGATGGCAAGAATGCGTATTTGAATCTTTACTACTCTAACATCTTTTACTCTATCATTGTAGTGGTGAAGGGTCAGCAACTCTCATTTGAGAAAATGTCAAACGACTACACGATTGTTGATCTATCCGGTAACAAATTTGAAGGAGAGATCCCAAACGAAATATGCACTCTTAACTCGTTGATAGTGCTCAACTTATMCAACAACCACCTCAATGGTCAGATCCCACAGGCTATAGGTAATCTCTCTGAGATTGAATCATTAGACCTATCCCAGAACCAACTATCAGGAAAGATTCCTCAAAGTCTTGCAGACATCACGAATCTTGAAGTCTTAAATCTCTCACAGAACCTTCTGGTGGGACGTATTCCTGGTGGAACACAATTGAGCACATTCAACACTTCATTCGAAGGGAATCCGGGACTATGTGGGTTTCCACTGCCGAAGGAGTATGAACATGCGAGTGCCCCACAACTTGAAGTTGATGGAGAAGAGGGGAGTGTATTTACATGGAAAGTGGTGATGTTGGGATATGGATGTGGAACCCTAGTTGGATTGTTGTTGGGATATTTCATGTTATCAACAGGAAGGCCAAAGTGGTTCAATGCAATTGCTGATGAAATAGAGCATGTGATCCAAAGAAGGCAAAACAAGAGAAGATAAATCATACATATTGGGAAATGAGATTAGGTACGTGTTTCCCATGCATGTTTTCTTCTCTATAAATGTCAACAAAATTAATGCTTGTTATTTTTCTTTTTTGAAATTTTAGTTATGACGCAGGTTGGGATGGAGCTATGTTGAATTATCCTACATATGCATGTTTGGAATCATGTYGTTATTAAAGCTTAGAAATAATTCGTTAGTTAGTTTATGTCCTTGTGTCGTACGTTGGTCATAAACTCATATTTGTATAACATTAATATTTACTTTGAAGACARATAATATATGTATCAAATAAATAATTTAAGACCTCGGATACATTTTTTAATCATTCACTCTTTGGTTTTGTATTTAATTAGCTATGTTTCGTGTCTCTTTATATCTAATTCATAATATAAGAGTATGTAGATAGCAACAGTAAGTGTTTTTATCTATCATCAATGGAAGGGGCAACAACGTGATAGGCGATTTGGAGAATAGACAAATGATGGAGCAACGAGGAGTGGCGAGGGGGAGTGATTCAGTGTTTGGGGTTTGAATGTCATAAGGTATGAGAACAGTATAATTGTTTTGGGTTCATTTTAAAACCTTCCTAGTCAGTTACAGATAGCTTTGTTTTGGGTTAAAATGATGTAAGCACTAATCTAACGACACGTAGTGGAATGGAGGTCGGTGAGGTAGGGGCAGAGGTGGGGGTGGGTGGGGTGTGACACCCCCCTCGCCGCCGCCACAACCACCAATACCACCATGCTACTAGTTATTTTCGTCGTCACAGCTGCCACCCCCACCCTTCTCCCAAAGATGGAGATTCCATTACAATTCCTACCAACCAAACGCGTGGTCGAATTCCATTCCAATTCYTTCAAAGTCGAATTTTTTTGACGGATTCCAATTCTACCGAATTCCATTMTGTGAACCAAATGCCCTCTTAGATAGTTGTTTATACCCTGTTTCACATTAGCTTTTTCTTGAGTTCTAATGTACCTAGCTATATGGTCCATAAATTCAAAAAAAAATTAGGAAAGAAATACTAAACATGCAACTATATACAAAATGTTTGTTAGAAAAGTGTGATAATTAGAGACAAGTTACCAATCCCCAGTTTGTAATATTATGCAACTACTTTGCGTATATAGAAATGGAATTGGTGTTATTTGGTTAGTTCAAAAGCTTATGAAACTCTGCTACTATTTCCAAAAATTACTAGAAAATGAAATTAATGAAAACAAATGAAAAGAACCTATATACACATGCATCAAATGAAATTAATGAGGTAATGTATTGAAGAAGGATGATTCAAGAGGATATGGAGTCAATACCTTTTGCTTAGGTCCATTCCCATTGAAAAGAGGAGTCGGTTGATTAAAGAAGCTTACTTCAGTCTGTCYCCACCTGCATTACAAGCCACATAAACYACAGGATACAAACCTAATTAATCTACTTTCAATGAAACCAGGTCTTACCCATAACCAAACAACTAAACGCACCTTCAACAAGTACCCGAAATATTGCAATCATGCCATCTATGATTTTACACTTCTCGGCATCTTTTTCTGCRTTGTGTGTGGATAGTGCTCGCACCAGATACCATGTGCACTGTAGAAGTCGAAAAACCAAGAACCGCAATTTCCTAACTTCACAATCAATAACAAATTAAGATCATATATATGCATCAAATGACCCAAGTAGCTAGAAAGCTAATTGAGTGAATTAAGAGAATTACAAAATGGCTCTGCTGAAAAGACACATAAGACATTGAAAGAAATAAAGCAGAAAGTGAAACTACTCATGTCTCACTTGTTAAACTAAAATAACCATCAACAATTTTACCATGCTTACTACTGCAAGGAACAAGAGAGCCTTGTCACATATATTTGCCATACACAGATGGTGACTAGAAAGGAAAGCATCCATTAAAACCATGATATAGAGAAGGAAAATGCATGATCATGAAGGAATCAAATATGACAATTACCACAAATGTTCCCAAACGCTCCAAATGTTCACCTAAACCTATAAACAAAACCATGATCACTACTCATGCTTAAAACATACAAATAAAACCATTGATCTGAAGTGATCAGAACTTCCATTAAGAACTGCCAAACCTTAAGGTGCCATATGATCCACCAACCGATGAATATTGGAGCAGTTCCTGTATCAATAACTAGCATGTGTGTGGTCATGCTGGCTGAAACTTTTAGGAGAAAAGATCGATAAAATAAAAATAGGTAGACCAAATTAGAGGCAAATGAAAGGCATAC